TATGTGATTAATGTCGTTGTAGGGTTGTAGGGTTAATGTGATTTATAACTAAGAGACATGTTGCAAGGAAAAAACAAGTTATAAAACTATTATTCCTATTTTTTTTCTCTCACATGTCTAACTTTGACGTTTCTCTCCTCCAGTCCACCTGAAGCAGGAGAAGCACCTGCAGGCAGCTCGGAGCATCATTCAGGCTGCTGCTCAGGAAGCTTCAGAAACTAGCTCTGGTGTAAAAAGCCCTGATCAGGCTCACGAGGAGGTAATCGACCAAGTGGAGCAGGAAAAGCAAACAACGCAGCAGCAGCCTCAGTCTGAGTAAAAACAGGCAGAAAATCTAAAAGAAAAAAAAAGAAAGGAAAAGACAGAAAGCTGATTTATCTGTTTGTGTGTTTTACTGTGCTGTTTTCACCTTTTCTGATAAAAACTTTTAAAATAAAAGTTTAATGTTCAACCTTGAATTTTAAGAAAACCTGTTTTACAAAAAACCTGTTGGATGTAACTATCAGTCACATGGTCAGAATAAGTCTGATTTTTATTTTTTGTTCCTCCTTTAATCCACCTCTTATACTTGTTTGAATAAGATAGCTTTAAACAGTGAATCTTAAATAGTTCTGAGACGGTACAGAGCCTAATATAGTCATTAAATAAATTAGCTTGTGTATTTTGTGGCAAGYTAATTTAATATAAAATAATTAGGCAGAATTTTCAATTAAAGCCTTAATTTAGTTATTCTAAGTAACAGTTAAAATAAGATATTCAGAAAATGTCATTTCTTTTAAAATATATGTAATTTCAGAGATATCAAACATAATTGTTTCTGTTAGGACATGAAGCAAAAACTGGAGCCAAAAGCACAAAACAAATAAAGGGGAAACATGTTATTTTCTGTAAGAAAAAAAAGATTGGATAAGACATAAAAAAGATAGGATATACAGTATCAAATGTTTTGGTTGACTAGAAAAAAATACACTTTTTGATTTCTGCAAAAACTAGGTAGCGTACCATTTATTAGAATTATGGCTTAGACTTAGTATTTTTCTTATTCACACTTCAAATAATATAATTTTGACAAAGTAGAAACAGTATTATTGATGGTTAAAGTGTGGCTTGATTGTATGGTAGAACGACCTGCCATACTCCACCGCTCTTTCTCCAACACCTGCGGTAAGGACTGAAACCGGAGCAGGCGGGGCTTAGGCCTGTAGCACCGCCTTTCCTGTGGCTGCAGTCGGGATTACGTGTTTAACCCGCGATCGACAAGTCGAGAGTCGGACTCTTCCGTTTCACCTGCTTTATGGTCACAAACTCTGGATCGACCTGAGTGAGGGGCATCTCTCAGGACCGAGCGCGTCTGGAGTCATCAGGTGAGTGAGTTCACTGACCTCACCTCTCTGTTTCATAAGGGCGACCTTTAACCAGGTGGTCGGGAAAGGAAGTGTTTGTTGTGTTTCACTGTGTGAGGGCTGGGCAGCCTGATTTATGTAAACTGAAAGATCAATTTACAAGCTTGCAAACTAAAAAAAAAAAAATAAAAATAAAAAAATTAGAAGCATTGTCAATAAATAAATTNGCTAAAGCACCTTAATTTGTTGATATGTCTGAATGAGCTATTAGAGATGTTGTAATAAGACACATGATCTGATTGGACAAAAGATAGAAAAGCTGATTTCATGTCTTCACCAAGCTACAAAGGTAAATAGACCTATCAGTGTTGATGRAGTCTGAATAAACAGTTTAAAAGGCTGTGGCATGTTATAATATTACCCAAATATGAGGTGGCTCTAAAGCAGAATTTATTCCATCAGTTTAAATGCTTCAGATTGTGCTTTTATATGWCACGACATATTTTTATGACTAAATAAAAGAGTCAGAATCCCCACTGTGTGGTTCTKTTTAAAGGCAAAAGTACCCGAATAAAGGGCAACTGTGCTCATAGATAACACATTTAAATATAATTATAAATAGTGAACCAATCAATATTACCTTGACGCAAAAAAGAACATAACAGCATGAAAGATTGAATGTCACAAAAACTCGTGAACATCTGGAAACATCAGGTGAAGGAAGACAACTGAACCTTTCCTTAAAACAGAAAAGACACTTTCAAATTTGAAACATAATTCAGAACATTTCCCTTTTTTAAAATAGTTTTTGTGTTGATTTTTTGGGGGGTATTTTTTGTTTTCTTTTCTTTTATTTGCTCTTTGTTTTTTGTCTTGCTTTGCTTTTTTTATTCATTCATCATTTATTTATCAGTCTTTTTGTCCTCATTTTGATTTTGTGCTGTTTTGCACCTCAGGGCTACAGTAAAAATGATTGGGAAGCTTGGTCTCACTGAATTTTCTTTTATTTTTTTATTTTACAAAACCTTCCATTTCTTCCAAAAACAACAACAACAACACGTGCAGTTCTTAAACTGAAGCAGCCTGAACAGTGACTTGTCTGATTCCTTGTGCAGCTGAGAATGAGTGAGAAGGCAGCTGGGACACAAACGCTCAGCGAACTGGTCGGCGCGCAGATGAAAGAGGATGAGGACGAGGATGAAGAGGGGCAAGAGACAGAGGACGGCGAGCCCAAACTGTGTGCGGTGTGTGGCGACCTGGCCAAGGGTTACCACTTCAACGCCCTGACATGTGAAGGCTGCAAAGGCTTCTTCAGGTGAAGTTTTGCACGCTTCTTTTTTTTTTTTTTTCACCTTTAAAACAGTTTCAACAGTTTTCAGGCCTCTTTTGCTTAATTTGCACAGCAGAACGACACATTAACAATCAAATAAAAGGCTTTGGTTCATATTGGGTTTAAACTGATCAGCCAGCTCATGAAGCATTTTGTTGTAACAAACACATGATAAAAGATGAGTCATTTGAAAATCCAGATCCATTCATACCAAAGCAGATCAAAGTGATTAGACACCAGTGCATCATCACCTAAATATCAAACGGTTATAAATTACCTCACCTTTTCCCTCAAACTGCCTAACCTGATATTATTGTTTGTGTTTATTAATGTTCCACATGGCTGAAAACTGGACCCAAAGGCAGCCATAGAAAGCTAATCACTTTTCAGGGATTTACTGCAGACTAAGGTGAGTAGTGATTTGAAGCGTAATCTGAAACGATAAGTTTAGAGTGGGTTTGACCCCGTCCTACTTTAGTTTTTTTGTCAGCTTGCCTCTTGATTGTTTTCTTTCTCTTCAGTCAAGCTTCTGCAGGCAGGATGTCATCCCGTCAATCAGATTTTTGAAGCAAAGCGTTCTCTCTGAATATCGTCTACCCCGAAAAACATCTTTGCACTCATGCGTTCCTCTTTTCAGCACACTCCCACATTTATACCTCACTGTCAGGACTCGTATTCCTGCTGAAAAGTTTACATTTCAAAAATGAAACAAACAAAATGTGCACTTATTGAYTGGGAATTATTGTGAACTTTTTAAAGATTTTAAAGCATTTAACTTTTAAGTTACATTCCATTTGGATGATAGTTTTCATTCTGTMCAGATAAAGACGCACTTTTCCAGATATAAAACACCAGTGGCATCACTAGGCCTATTTTAGGGGGGCTGGAGCCCCCCTAAAATATTTTAAAGCCCCCTAAATTATTTTGGTGTAAAATTTTTTTTATTTAATTTATTTTTTTTACAAAAATTCAATATGATGTAGTCAGAATAAA